TTTAGTGACATAACATTCAGGCACCCAGCCTTAATTGTTACTCCTTACATTTCTAATAGGTCTTGGAAATCAATGCAGTTCTGAATGTACGGTACCAGGGCTTTCACGTCAGTAAATGGAGTTCCTGGCCTTGAAGACTCTGATATACTCAGCAAGAACCCGGACATGTTTTGATCTCCCTAACCTGGCCTCACGAGCTATATAGTTGATGCCTTCTGATGCACTATAATGTACTCAGCACCATCACATAGCAAGCTTCAGTGCACGTATTTCGGGCCCTGTAATGAAAGCAGTTCTGGATCTGTGCCCAAATATTGTTGGGTAACAACACAATATGATAAATTCTGACAGTGTGACCAGTAAACCCACCCTTTCTGATCACAGTACTGCAGCGACTTTGAACTAAATGTACAGCAGGAGGGGGGGTTCACCACATGTACCAGATGAAGAAGGGCAGATGAGCTACTTCAGGGCCCTTGTTATGAATGCTGTATACACTTAGGTTCAGTCCGCTACTCCTTGTGCCAGCATCACCCAGCTCCAATGAAGGTTCATGCAGAACGAAGACTATAACCTCTCAAGACCCCCTTGTACTAGGAACTGAAGTATACAAGCAGTGAGGCCCCAGGCAAGCTACTCCGTGGACAACAGACAAGAGCAGCTTTTGGGAGCCCTCTAAACCCCTGCACCAGCCTGATGTCCTGCTGCTCCAGCCCTGAGTGGCTCTGGCCTGGCACAGAGATGAGGGTGTTATTTTCTTTGCACCCAGAGCCTGACCCAGCATTAAACCCAAGGAGCCAGGTTCGCACTAACGATTTTTCCACTTCAGGACATGGTGTCTTCCACCTGACCCCTCATACCTGTATGATTTGACCCCTGGTACTTAGCACTTCTTCAGCGCTGACCCCTTGAGCAGAAACTAAACAGCCCATGTCCTTGCATACAGATTCATAACCACAAGAAGGGCTCCTCATTGCAGAGCCCCATAAACATGTAGGCACATTAAAACATTTTCTTTAAGGTATGGTGCTTAAGGCTCCTGCACAAGCCATCCCCAGCAGCTGCCAATGAAGACTGAGCAGTGCTCTGGGTGCTTGAACTATTGTGCCAGTCTCTCTCCAACCCAACCTTGCCCTCATAAGTATTGTGCAAGATGCACCAGGCACTTAAAATCCTGGGCCCATCCTCCTGGGCTGCTGCCAGCATCACAACAAGTACACGCTGCCTAGGCTCCAGCTGCTTGAAGGCGCATTCAATCGCCATCCTGCAGCTGCTTAGATAAACCATTCTTTTATGCTATCAAGGTACACAGCAGGTGGCTTCCAAAGTCACAGGCAACGGTGGGTAGGCAGGGCTCTGGAGTATCAGCACATGGAGGCTCACACTGTTTCTGTCTGCTCGGTAGGCAAAGCTCCCTGTCCTAGTCAGGGAAAAGGAGCAGGAATTGATGAATCTTCTTGTACCACACACTTTTCCAGCTACCCAGCATTATTGTTGGTGAATCTCCCATAGTTGGCAAGCAGGGGAAAATCAGGAGGAAAAAATGTTTCCTGTTTGTTTTTTTTGAGGCTGCCCAGTTATTTCTCCACGGTTTTGTAACAGCAGCAAGGAATGGGAATGTGCCTTCCACCTCTCCCTCCAATGCAGCTGCTAAATGACACACAACACCTTCTGTATCAGTGGTTCTCAGCCTCACTGGACATGAGGCACCCTCCAAAACTTCTGTCAATTGAGTGGCACCTCATTTCAAAAGCTAATTTATATGTTACAGCGCTCACCTCCTTGCAGAGGGACTGGGCACTGGGGGTAGGGGATCAGTAGGCAGGGACAAGCCTGAGCCTGCGCTTACCTGCTTATCTCCTCGCACCTCAAAGCACCCTGGTTAAGAATTGTTCTTCTATAGGGGATGGTACCTTTTACAGTGGGGCATGCCTCACATGACAGTAACAGATCTGTCCACGCTTACAGATGGCTACTGCCACAGACAAGCCTCATCTGGATCATCTCCCTATTCACCTTTGGGACTACCTCTGCACACTGTTCCAGCACAGTGGCCTCTCTCATCTCCGAGTTCTCCAACCACTGCTGGGCAATCCATATCTGCAGCAGTCTTCTCCCACAAGCTCACGTCTGTTTCCTGAATCTAAAACTGGCGGTTCACAGATCAGACGATGGCCACAGAGCAACCCACCCTTGTCTGTCACCGGCTATCCTTGCCTTTGGTGGCTCACTGTCATCACGCGAGATAACAGCGCAGGGGTTCATTAACCACAGCATGGTGCGGCAGGACAGTCTACACTTCAGCCTGTGGGTGCTACTCCTGCTGCAACAGCCTGACAGCTAAGGACCTGCACTGAATTAGACACTTAGCAGCAAGAAGGCACATGCATTACCACAGTCTGAGATCGCCGAGATGGATGCAGGCCAAGACGGGATGCGTCCACACCACTGCCCTTCTACTTTCAAAATGGCTCTGTATCCCTTCAGGAAGAGGTCACCAAGCAAACCTCAGATGCTTTTCCCTTTTGCAACTGAGCCACTGCAGCTGCGTTTGAAGCCTTTTGGGAACCCTTCTCCCAGTGTCCCACTGTGCACCGTGGCAGGCATCCCCACTGCACAGACTGCTCTGGCAAGTCACATCCCTGTCCAGGATCTCATTTGTAGCAACTGAACACAGCCTGGGGCTTGCGCCAGACTGCTGCACTGCAGCGTGTTGCAGGTTGATGCCATGAATTTCACCTCCTGCCGCCTCCCGGTTCACATGCCCACAACCCTGCAGTCCAAGCACGCTGCTACCTTAGAAAGGACCCAAAGGCATTTTCAGGTTTTCAAAAAGTTACGTATAAAAATTGAGCCGTTTAAAGGCAGTGCTGCTAAAGAACAATGAGAATAAACACCACTGACCAGTTCCCCAGGTGACACGGGACTGTCAGATTAGGTGACTACCCTTTTCTTTGCTGTATTTTTGATGTCCATGCCAGTAGTGATCAAATATTGTTACTATGGCAATGGATGGATTCAAAATGACTTGCTTTCTGGCCAAGTCTTAGCTGGCTGAGGGCCATGGCACAACCTACCAACACAGTTTGCACTAATTGGTATGTTTCTGGGAGTCTCAGTGAAGAGGCCATGGATTGAATGAGTCACAGGAACCGACCTCATCCCCAGACGCAATCCTTCTGACTAACGGGAAAAATACATGAGCAGGGTCAAAGAGGAAAAACTTGCAGGGCTGTTGTTTGTGCTTTTTCTGTTGTCTGAAGAGAGTAATTCTGCCTTTAGGGATGACACTTCTCACCAGCACTGCAATCATTAAAGCTGCTACTGCCACTGTGAGCCACCCAGCTAAATAAATGCCCCAGGCTGCCACTGAATAGAATCCAGCACAGGCAGAAGTTCCAAAGCTGCAGCCTCAACCTTCCCCCAGCTCCAGCTTACCCAGGTCTCCACTGAGCAGGGCCTCTGCCAGAGGTGGATTGCGTTCTTTCAGCAGGGACAGCTCATGAGGATTGGCAAGCAACATGTCACGCAATAGTGCTGGATTGTCCAAGCCCTGAGGGAAGGAAGGTGCTTCAGGTGGTGACGAGCGCAGATGCTGTGCTGGTTGCTGAGGCTGCTGAGTTGACATTCCAGGTACTGCAATGCTGCTGAAGTCTATCCTGGGCAGACCTTAGGGAAAAACCGGTTAACAACGCTGTGAACACTTTGTGTTTTCAACTCAGCAGCTCAAACCTGTGGAGTGGTGGTGCTGAACACGTGCATGTTTGAACAGGTCCTTTAAATTGCAATTCCTGTCTGAAGACTCCACCACGTCACCATCACATTCAGGTTAGCGGGTTAGGAATACTAACACATATTTATATAAAAAATGAGCCGTTCTTTCATCTGGCCCATTTTCTTGAGCACACGTAGCCCTTTGGACTTATTTTTTCCATAAGATCTCTATACCCCACTCTGATTCGCAGAGGGCTTGTAAGGCTGAACTCAGCCTCTACAAGACGCTTTGAATTTCTCAAATAAAAGACATCAGTCTCCCAGCTAAGGTGCCAAATTCTTTAGAGTCTTAGGTATATCCTTTTATAAAAGGACAAAATCATGATGGGGATCGCTAGTCTTGGTAATTGGGAGGGAGGGGGCATGGGGTGGGGAAGGGAAAGGTTGGAATAGTGGTAACTCAGTTGCATGCTGTAGGGTTTGAGGAATCTCTGGACAATCCGCTGCATCACATCACTGGGTCCATTCAGTTCCTCTGAGTATTTGTCACAACGTACATGCAGAACATGAATCGTAACAGCCTTTTTTGTGCGTCCGAGCAGCATAGACTGCGCATTATCACACCATTATGTAGAATGGGAGGACTGCAGGAAGCCTTATGAAAATGGAGATGCGTTCAAAGCAGCTGCTTTTTTGAACGTATTCTTTTGGTCGCTCCCTTCCCCCCACAAAAACCCAGCAAAATCAGTTAGTCTTTCCCTTGGATTAGAACACTGTAAAACAGCAAATAAGTTTAGCAATCAAAGAAAAAAAAACACCCTAAAAGCAGAACTATTTTGCCTGATAAAGAACAGATGGAAGTTAGGATGCGTGGTGAATGTTCATCAAGCACCGAGACAGTGAAACGAAGTGCACTGAGCACAACAGCGCTGTCATTGTACATTAGTACGCTAAATACGAAACTTGGAGCACTCATTTTCTGCCCAAAGCATATTTTTACCGCCCACTTACTAATTCCTGGAAGGATGGCTTTACATTTAACATTAACAGACTCTCTTTTTGGTATTAATGCAACAACAAAGTTAAAATATGTCAGTAGATAAAACGCCCAGATGATTAAGAGTCACCACTTACAGGTACCAATTTAGCGGAGCTGTGGATAGAGGGACAAGAACCATTAGTCTGAGTTAGTCTGACAAGTTTCTCACCTGGAAAATGGCCAGGAGGCCGTGGCTCTACATTTTCCTTCTGTCGTAAAATCACCACATCCCCATCTTTCAAGCCGTATGAGGCCAATGATCTGTGGTTGTCAGTTAAAGGCCTTTCTGCATAGACAATCTATACATGGGAAAAAGCAATGAAATAAAGAAAACTTATATACAATAGAAGGCAGATAAAGCAAAATCCTAAATAATGGCTTTATGTAGAGACATGAATTTTGCTTCACTCTAAATTTCAAGATGGATCCAGAAGAATTACTGGTAGGAGTGCGATTCCTATCAACGATACAGGCAGTTGTACAGCTAGTGCCCTACGTACCAGACAGGGATCCCGACAGTAAGTGCTTACAGCACCACAGAGAATTAGGTTGCCAGAAAACCCCCATGGTTTCACAGCATGCAGCATTTCTGAGAAGGGCTGATCAAGGAATACGAGAGCTGAAAATGTACACGAGAAGCCTTGGATAGCGCCCAGTGTTCTGCACGCTCTCCACACAGCCATGGTCTGCCTGCTTCCCAAACGGTGATCTCGCTTCCTAGGTCATGCCATCAAGCATTTACCTTTATACATTTCCAGGTCTGTGTTTAACGCTGGACGGAACAGGAAAAGAAACAGAAAAGAGTGTCACTGGTATTTTGCTTGCACCCTTTGACACGTAGTCATAATTTTCCAGAATAACTTGTTTAAAAAAAAATTGCCATTGACTTAGATCGGTGTTCAGCAGTTTCTGGTCTACTTCATCAACAGAACAGCAATACGTGGCCTAGGACCACTGGGATTTCAGCTCCTAAGGAATTGCTCAATTAAAACATACTATTTGCCTGAGTTCTACTTTAACCACAATCCTAAAAGGCCAGCAGTTCTTACTGGAGGTGGTTCCTTCAAAATCCCAGAAAGTCCATTTCTTTTCAGAACACTAAACCTGTCTGGCCCATGCTAACACTGAAATAGCAGTCTGAAGAGCTGAAAGGGTTGATGGATTAAGTACCACCATTTGGTTTTTAGTGCAATCCCAGCTGAAGTCAAAAATGAAGAAACCTTGGAGGTCTACACCTAGTCCTACTGGGCACGTGTTCAAATTTCACAATTACCACGTGCTTTAGCAAGACTGAGTTTCTGCTCCTGAGAAGCCCAGGACTGGATCGACAGGTTTGCTGCAGGTGAAGACCAGCAGCTGTGCGCTGGCAGAGTTGTACCAGAGAGCTTCTCCAGAAACTGCCTACCTGCAGCTAACCAGCACTATCACAAATAAGACAGATCTGCTGCAAAATACAATTCGCAGACACTTCCCAAGCCATTATGTCTGCAAACGTTTTCTGAGATGCCAGAACCCCACTAACTCTCTCTAGTGATGGAGAGTACCATCATCAGCTCCTGAGCTCTGTCAAAACAAGCAAAGATGACAAGATCATAAAATAAGCTTTGTTCATTTATCTGACATGCATGGTTTAGCTTTGGTAATTAGCAGTCTTTCACAGCATCCCACCAACTGTTCAGTCCCACATTTTATAAATGTAGCAAACAACTACACGCTAATGTGAACGAAGGTAACTCGCCAGTATGTAGAATTTAAAATACACCTCTGCATTTTCAGACGGCCTTTGCCATGGGTCTCTGGACTGTTTTGGGGAGCAGTGGTTCCAACAGCCACTCCACCTTCCCTTCCCGGCGGGCTCAGAGACTGTGAGAGGGGCAGGGACTTCAACCACCCTTCAATCCCTTCCACTAACCTGAGAACTGCTAACCCAAGTGCACCAGCCCAATCCAGCATGTGGGACCACCGGCATGCAGCTTCCCGCAGGTCCAAAAGCTTAGCGGCAGAGCCATGGTGACATTAACTGCAGCCAGGCTCCAAGAGCTGCAGAAATTAACACTGCCATCACCCCCTCCCCCCGCCAAATTTCCAGGCGCATGGGGGGCTTCACAGGCCAGATGACTTGGCTTTGCAGGCTGAATTCAGCCTGCATGCTGTGCTTTGAGCACGCACCGCAGTCATAGGCAATCCCAAGATTAAAGCAAAGGTCTCACTCAGTCCAGCTGCCTTTTTTGCTGCGCAAGTGGAAGGTCTTCACTAATGCAATGAATTTGATTTATTTAGTCAATCTCCTCCTTTCCATTGGGATACCTGCCCCTCAACAGAACACCCCTAACCCAGGGTCCTTCTTCATAAATCCAGCTGGAAGCCTGAGAAACCTGCAGAGACTCATCTCAACTCTGAAACAGGAGATCCAGCATTCTTAGGAAAAGTCGGCCCTACGAATATCAAGAGCAACAGAGCTCAGATTTTACCCATTGTCTTTCCCCCGCAGATGAGGCACTGGAGTGACCGCTTGTCAAAACAGGGCAGTTCTTAACAGAGCTGGTCAGACTAACACCCAGTCTGACCCACATGGAGTCAGCTGGGTGACCAAACAACTTAAGGCAGGTCTTGATACAGGGCTACAGAGAAATAGCTGCAGGCAGAGCCTGACCCCAAGCAACTGGCTGTCATGCCACAAGGATCTGCTTCAGTTTCTCCAACATGAGGCATCATGCCCATGAACACAGAGTACCTATACCTTCACCTCTTTGGCAGGCACTGATTTAAGAGGTGAGAGTGCCTGGAAGTGTCCTAAGAGACCACGGTGTTGATGCCAGATACAAAACCGTAGCAGGAACAGTGTTCAGCAGAAATCCAGCACCAGATCTGGCTGGTCTAGGGATCTTGGGGCCAGCACAAAGGGCTCCAAATTTGATAAAACACATCAAGATTTTTAAAGTTAAAATGCTTATTTACATGTGGCTAATTCTTTACCTTCAACCCTTTTTATAATCTTAAGTACAAAAACAACTTGGTTCATTTCTTTGATTAAATGCTCTACTCCTAGAATTTCAAATTTTACAGAGTTTTTTCCTGCTACAAAGTTAACACTGAAAATCTTTATCTATGCAGGAAGAGACAAGTTCAAGGGCCTAGACTCTCAAAACACAAAACTGATGAGCACAACGAAGCCCACGTTGTACTTGCAACACCTAACACGATGAACGACCCCAACCCACGATAAATGAAATTCTCATTGTTAACACTGATACTATCTTGTCATAAAATAAAACATTCGATCCCAGAGACCTCAGGGACACTTACTTTGAGAGGGGTCATGATGTCAGACCACTGGGTCTGGGGACCTCAATACCTCTTATGCCGGGCACAGAACCAGTTGGGTAAGCGGCTCGCAAGAATCAACAGCATCAAGTCCTTGGCATCACTTTGTTTTACTTTGGTGGATAAGGGAGCTCTCCAGTAACGGGGTACCAGACCTCTGGCACTGGATTTAGTCAGCATAATAAAGCCAGAGATCTCCGTGACCTCTATACCAGGCGCACAACTACAATGGTGAGCAGATCTCCAACATCAAAATTAGATTTATAGACTGGCCTCGTGTTTGAGCCTGAAGAGCTTTCCCTATTAACGGGTAGAGGGCACGCTGCTTGCCTTTGTACGTCTGGAGGATGCCCACGCTGCACAAGGAGCTGCCTCTTTTTCATTCCTCACAAGAACAACTGACTGACAGACTTTCTGCTATAAATAAAAAGCCCCAAAATGCAAGAAAAAAAACACAGCAGCAAAAAGGGAAGTGAGGAGGACACAGCATGTGACGCGAGCTCACTGCATGTTCAGCAGCAACGTGAAACCGGTGGTGGCGAGCACTCCCGCTTTTAATCTCCCTTCCAGGGATGCGAGGAGAAGGAAGTGGACCCACGGGCAATGCACACAGTACGGTCACCCTGATGACACAAAGAATAATCAAAGGCTGCTCAAAGAAGAGTATGGAAGCTCTTTGTTCACTATTAACTCTCAAAACAGACACAGGAGAGGCCACCAAGTGTACAAATCTGGGGATGTTAAGATGAACTACTGCTAACATATTCTGGCTCATACTGCAGACCTGCACCATATCCAAAGCAATCAAAAGAGCTGTGATTAAGATGATACAGGACAGATACAAGATTAGAAACTAATGGGAGACTTCTGTCCTACTAAATACACGATTGGCAGCATCAATCTGTATCATATTCCACTGGCCGCCTGTGTCCACTTTTACCCGGCGAGCTATACTTATCCAGAACACATCGGTACGTTCCCCATCTGCAAAGCAGAAACGTAACAACAGGCTCTTAGTTATACCACTAAGCCTTGTTTGTGGGGGGCAGATTCCCAAATGCAGCATCTCATATAACTAAACACATCACACTCAGTTTGAATTCAGTAATGCTGCTGACAGGGGAAAAAAACCCAAGCTCTGAATAGACCTGACCTGCACGCATACAGCTTAAATGACGGACACTTTGTGCGGACATTCGGGGAGATGCAACATAACTCATTTTTAAAGAGATCTAACCTGCCTTCTTGCTTTGATGGGATCGTGAAACTTTCTGCCTTAATAGCTCAAAGGGCAAATTAAGCATGTAGCAGCTGCTCTGCTCTCCTCCTTTGCAGTCAAAATAACAGAAGTGTGACTAAATAAAATTAGCTTCTCTAGCTTGTAACGTATTAAAGATGCAAATTCTGTAAGGCAGCTAAACTGTAAATGGAAAACTCCCCCGAAGGCAGTCAGCGACCGCAATCCACCCTCCAGCATTATGAAAAGCTCTGGTTTGGCCAAGAACGTCCTGGAGCAGACTTCTCAATACACTAGGGAATCCTGAAGCCACTTTTTGGCTGGTTATGTGAAAACAGTGACAAGAATCTTCCTTTAAACAGAACAAACAGAGTTATTAACTCCACCCAACAAAGCTGAAACATCTGTTAGCGACCCATTTCCATCACAAGTGTCTCACACTAGGAGCACTCCATCTTGCTGGATACCAGTGTTTCACTGCAATCTAACTATTTTCTAACCTACAAGAGGATTCATTAGATCAGTAGTTCACAG